TATAAAAATAGGTATTGTATTTTCCTGCAGTGGTCTTCGGCAACTAACATTTTTGGCCCAACAAGCAAAAAAAACAATTTATTGCCCTATAAAACTTTTTTCAAAATTTTCGATTTATTGGTCTTGCCAATATTTACATACGCGGCAGAGATACGACAATTTAGAGCGAATCCAGAATTATGCATGCAGACGATTTCTAGGCATTTCAAACAGAGCTCCGAATAATAGTGTTTTGGGTGATTGTGGGAGATATCCCATTTACTTTCATACAGCAAAGCGGTGTGTGAAACACTGGGCGAAATTGGTCAATATGCCACCTTCCAGGTATCCACACAAATGTTGTATAACATAGAAAAGTCAGGATTGAGATCAAAGAAAACATGGGTAGCTGAAGTGAAAAACTTGTTATTTCTATGTAACTTAGATGAAAGGTGGCAGGAGGTTAAAATATCAATATATTTATGAATGTTTTTGTTGCATCGTGAATAGGTTGGGGTACAATGAATAAATTAGAAACTTACAGAGAATTCAAAACTACAATTACACCCGAGCATTATATATTTTCAGTTAATATCTTTAAACATAGAAGCTATTTATCAAGATTCCGTTGATCCGCTCATTGTTTGCTTATTGAAGCTAACCGAGAAAAAACAGAAAGATCAAAGGGTTTGTGCTCTCTGTGACTTGAACCAAATTGAAATATCATTTTCTTTTAGTCTGTACATTTTTAGCTTCGCTGTCGACTTTGTCGAGCGGAGCTTATCATATGAGTGATTGTCCGTTGTCCGTGTCAATGTTTTACTTTTTCGACTTCTTCTTGAAAACTACAAGCCTGAATGCTTTGATACTTGGTGTATATGTACCTTGGGTAGACCTCTCTTAGATTTGTTCATTTTGTCATATCTTTAATTCTTTAATTTTAGTGAATATTTTTGTCATTTTTGGTAAAAAGTGATATTTTCAACTTCTTGTTAAAAACAGCAAGTCCAATTGCTTTGATATTACATATATAGGTACTACATGTGGACCTCTCTCAGATTTGTTCATTTTGTAATGATATCGTCAATTCTCTAATTTTGGTGAATAATTTTGTCATTTTTGGTAAAAAGTGATATTTTCGACTTCTTGTTAAAAACCGCAAGTCCAATTGCTTTGATATTACATATATAGGTACTACATGTGGACCTCTCTCAGATTTGTTCATTTTGTCATGATATCTTTAATTCTTTAATTTTAGTGAATATTTTTGTCATTTTTGGTAAAAAGTGATATTTTCAACTTCTTGTTAAAAACAGCAAGTCCAATTGCTTTGATATTACATATATAGGTACTACATGTGGACCTCTTTCAGATTTGTTAATTTTGTTGTGAAATCTTCAATTTTGATGATTATTTTTGTCATTTTTGGTGAAAAGTGATATTTTTGACTTCTTGTTGAAAACCGCAAGTCTGATTGCTTTTATATTACATATATACGTACTACGTGTGGACTTCTTTCAGATTCATCCCGTTGCTTTTTATATATATATTGTTCATTTTCTAATATCTTCAGTTCTTTAATTGTAATGTGCATTGCTAACAGCGGAGCTATCTCAGCCGAGAGGCTGCTTGTTTACAAATCTCATAGACAAGTACTTACCGTATTTCTTTTATAACCCACCTACTTTTAATAAGTTCATTGACTAATGAAATCAGAAGATAAAAATATTCTGATGCGGCTTGCAGCTTTTGTATTTCAAGCCCTAAAGTTAAGGAGCGAAATTACAGAATTGTTGTAATATTAATGAGATTGTAAATGTACATATATATTATTTTGTTTTCAAATAAGCAACCTGTACAACTTTGTTGGGCCTATGGCCTTGATAAGTGAATAAAGACTCACTCACTAAAACAGTGCTTACGATATCACAGTTATGCATATTAATGAGGTTAGAAGCCCCCACCAAATGTACAAGATGTCACTTGACCTAGCCATGTGCCATTTGGGTGAAAGAATGCACATACAAAATTTGAGCCCAAGCAGACCAATACAACACATGTAATTGCACATTTTCATTTTAACAAATCATGCAGTGACTAAGTTTAATTTTTTTTTCATATGAAGCAAAGCCCAGACATATACAAAATATCTAGTTTGAAGCACCTCTAACAATTGCCCAAACTTTTGGTAATTTTTAACTAAAACCCAAGATGGCTGCTAAACCAAATGGAGCTATGGCCAGACATCTATATGCAAAGTATGAAGTTGCATATGAATATACCATATGACAGCATTTAGCTTGGTTTTGAAGAGATTTTCAAGCATTTTTTGGAGGGAAAAGATGGCTAGGGAAAAGTCACATGACCACTAAATTGTTACGATTACGTACACCATAAAAATATCTCTCTGCCTATACCCTCAGAAAGTGGTCAAATAGCCACTTCCGGTGCAATTTCAATCCAATATGGCTGCCAAACCAATCAAAATTCTGAAAGTAAGGTGCACCAGTTCACATTAGGGACTATCAGTATGGAGAATTCTCAAACGACTCGACGGGGGGAAAAAAAAAATTACCAAAGAAAAAAAACCCTGATAATATCCTTGGACCCCGAAATATCTTTAGAGGTAAAGCCTTACTCAAGACTATTTTATGTCTAGTTTGTCATAATAGTGTGCTTCACAATTTTTATGGTCCCAATCAGTTTTCAATGAAATGGCAACTTTCCATCAGTTAGCTTCCACATTGCATTTTCTTTTAAAATGAACTTTATCCCAGTAATGCATTCCAACAAGGAGTAAAATATCAAATGTAGAGTCTGCGCTATAATTTTATTCACAGCAAGTGTACGAGCATTTGCCAAACCAAGAGAGCAGCTGGAAGCTTTGATCTTGCAATTTTTTTTTTATGAAACTGGCATGAAGCAACAAACGTACAAAAGTGACTTACAACACTTAATTCTGACTTGATCATTTTCAATTTCTACACTGTGGGTTCATGAACAGTGAAGCTGCATCAGTTGACAGGCTGCTTGTTAGCTTTTGTATGTGAAGCACACAAGAGACTAGGAGTTAGGTGAGCCTGTAAGCACAATCTCAAACTTCTGAGCGGATTTTGATCACATTTATTACATTGACTTCGTTCATGTAGTAATTTACATATTCTCTCATTTCGTGCAAGCAAAATTTCTGAAAACCGAAACTGTCATAACAAATATACAGTGGGAGAAAACTCAAATTACAGCATGGGGACAACTTTGACAAGTATGCTCGACATGCCAGAGGGGAAATCAACCATCTTGAAACTGAATAAAATTAATTACTGTGCCACCGAAATAATCTTTTCACCATCAGACTATCTCTCGTCTGAAATGTTTTTGCACTTTTTTTTCTTATATTCTCCAATATTTCTGGAAATGAACTCCAATGCCAACAGATAAAATTTGAGTAAATTTTCAGTTTTTATTAAAAACAATTGGCTATTTTTGTCCCAATCGTCTGAAAGTGCAGACTATAAACATGACTATTGTGAATTTGTGAAAAAAAGAAAACTGGTGGTGAAAAGGTTAGTTATTTTGGACAAGTCTACGAAATGTACCAATGACAACTAGGTGAAATACAACAGAAGATTTCACTTTATTCATTTATTTATTTGTTTTGACCAGCAATGTAAAAATCACCAGCACAAATAATTTCGCAAACATATGCCCGAGATTAACTTTCATCTTCGTCATCTTCATCCTCATCCTGGTTGATCTGGAAGTAGCGCAGCTCATATGTATCTTTGTTGGACGCAACCACTCGTAACCAATCTCTCAGATTGTTCTTTTTCAGGTATTTCTTTGTCAAATACTTCAAATATCTAGTGAATAATAAATTAAGACAGTGTTACTACCTTCACCAATCAGTTCTCTAAGCCATATGCGAGCTTAAAAACTATTTTGGGAGCAGAAATACCTTGCACGGCCTCTTTTGTAGAGTTTTATGGGAAAATATCACAAGATGGTTGACAGGTGTATTGAATCATCAAAAGGAAAGCTTATTTAGTAAACAAGGGAAATGTACAGAAATGTTTAGTTAAGCCAAATAAAATTATTTTATCAATTTTTATGAAAATTATTTTATTGAACAAGATTCTGGGAGTATTTTTCAAATTGAAATATTCACACAGTACATATGACTGGCGAAGCCATTTTGGTGCGAAGAATTGGTCCAGTATGCAACTAGAAACAGTGCAGATTTAGAAGTATACTTGTTTAAAAACCACATACTGCTTATGACTCGTGCAAATCAAAACCCACAAGGGCAGTTTCTCACTCTCCTCCACACTATCACAGCCCTCTAAGTCTAAGAAGAAAATTTTAGTAGCCAAAATAAAAATTTAGTGACCAGGCCC